TTTTTTTTTTGTCTGCCTTCGGTGCTTTGCTTTTTACCGACGAATCTCACATGGCGGCTATTTGCACCTACGCTCCCCAATAGCCGGGGTTGCAGCCCGAAGGAGTGAAAGGGAGTGAGGATCGGTGGATCGGGCCCTCGGAGCATCCGCTGCGAGGGATCCGGATGGTGAACGGAACGCAATGCAGACCACATGCACAAGGCGTGGACGCAGTGAGATGTTCCTAGCCCATCCATCCTCACCCCAACGTCCCTCTTCTGCTGGCTTATCGAAACTTGATCTTGAGACACAGACGGGGTTCTTTGTGTTTATTTTTTCGATTCGACTCTCGCCTGGCACCTCTACGCTCGCCTATGTTCGCTTGGCCAGCCTTGCGAGGCGGCACAGCCCACCAAGGCGGATCAGAGGAGGATGGGGTGGGTTGCGGTGGAATTCCGATGTCGATCCCGTTTCACGCGATGCTGCTGGGCTAAGCTATCGACCGTCCATCGCGCAGCGCCGATCTGTTTGGCTCCCTCGCCAAAAAAAAAAATTGAGAGAGAGCCCTTTTTTGCCAGTTCGGAGTTGGAAAATCTGAGGAATGTCCCGATGGAAGCGCATCTCTCGCACGACTCACCCTCGAGCTTGTTGGCAAGAGTGTAAGGTCGCAGCGGCTCGGCAAAATGCAGTTGACGCAGCTGCGGCCACACCCACCGAGAGTAGCCGATGGCCATCATTGTCGTCACGCCCCGTCATGTGGCCTTGGCTTACAACGGCACACTATCATCCGAACCACCGTCTGCAAGCCCAGCTGACGTTCTTGCTTGCAGTCCGCCGAGAATCCATGCAGGGTCTCGATCTGTCTTTCCAGAAGGTCCGGAAGCAAGTCGTTGCGCTGCCAGAGATGGCGAGAAGGTTTTTGATGTTCAAATTGTTAGACCGCAGTTTACAGCAGATTTAGGATGTGTCAGGCTGAGGCAGCGTCGCGTCAAGGCATGTGGAGTTGGACGCGTAAAGTGCGATGAGTGGGGCGCGTCCGAATGGCCAAAGCTTTTGGGAAAAAATAAGAGCAACTGCGGAGCGGCAGTTTTTTTT